CCCAAAGTTGACAAGTAAAAAGGCACAGTCCCAATGTTACCAAATCACACGGCAGGCCATTAAGTCCATTTTAAGTCCCAAGGTCGGCAGAGCATGGCAGGTTGCTGAACAACATGACTATATGCAAGGTCCAAGCATGCCATAGACTAGAGACCATTCCCAAGGCTTCTCCTTGAATACAGGAAGCAGATCACGTCCCAGTCAGCTGCTTGTGGTAGATCCCACCTTGGAGTTGATTGGCAGTCATCATGGGGAATAACTACCACCAGCTGCCCAGCCACTCAACCAGGCCCAGCCAAGTTGACACACAAACATAACTACCACACTTAACTATAAAACAAGAGGAAATGTAGCCAACTCATTTAGTAAAACCAAATCCATAAACTACTTGGCATAGTATATGGAAAAGCCTTTTTTTTTTTTTACTGCACTCACATCATCTCTATTAACTCAGCTATAGTTTCAGATTACTGACAGTAAGCCTTTTTTCATTAGCTACAAAAAAATATGACTGTCTGGTTAACGATGACAGGAAAATCACACTGATTAACGGTAAAGTCACAGTGGCTGCAATGATGGGCTCAAGCACAGAAAGGACTGGGAGGATGGAGCAGGACCGGGCAGTGTTTAGTTCTGTTGTAGACAGGGTCACTGTGAATCAGAGCCAACTCAATGGCACCTAACAACAGTAACAGCAAGGGTAGAGTTTCACAGCCAATTAATTATTGTCATTAAGTTGTACACCTGTAAAAAGTTGAACTGGCATAAGCTGTTTGATATATTTACAACAATGACCAAAAACAAAGGCTGCTTATGTACAACCAAACCCCTTGCTTTGGAGGTTTAGGATTATGGTTTCACAAGACATCCCAGTTTATCAGCCAAACAATGTGTTTAATGCTTTTTCATGAAATGAGGTCTACCTCCTCATTTGCTGCACAGTGCCTGAGGCCTTAAAAGCTTGTAAACAACCATTCAAAGCAAGCAACTGGTCTCTATTGACCTGGAACAACAGAAAATAGAGAAGGATCCTAATAGGGAGATATGGAATGTATGGCTAATTGCCTCCATGAACAAATGCCTCCTTTGCCATGAGACCAGAGGAACTAGATTGAACCCAGCTACCATTACTGAATATTTTGATCAAAGATTCCATAGAAGAATCTTGATTCAAAGGATGAAATGGAGAAGAGAATTTGAAATTCTCATGGACTCTAGACTTTCTGAAACCATGGAGGGTAGATGAACCTGTGAAACTATCTCCCTGAGATAATCTTTACATTTTAAACCAAAAATATCCCCTAAAGTCATCTTACAACCGAATAGTTTATCTTAACTAGTAAAACATGTTTGTCTTGAACCCTCTTGCTCTTTTAACCTGCTGCCATTAAGTCAGTTTCAACTCACAGCAACCCCTCCTTGGGTTTCCAAGACAGTATCTTTACAGTAGATTGATTGCCCCGTCTGCCTTCCGAGGAGTGGCTAGTGGGTCTGAACTGCCAGCCTTCTGGTTAGCAGTCAAATGCCTTATGCACTATGCCACCAGAGCTCCTCTGCTGTTTTAAGACCTACCTGTTGTTTTTGTTGTTATGTGCCGTCGAGTCGGACCTGACTCATAGCGACCCCTCTTCGGGTTTCCGAGGCAGTATCACTACAGAAGACTGCCCCATCCTCCTTCCAAGGAGTGGCTGGTGGGTTTGAACTGCCAGCCTTCTGGTTAGCAGTCAAGTGCCTTAGGCACTACGCTACCAGAGCTCCCAAGACCTACCTCTATGGGATCAAACTGACAACAGCAACTCAAAGGATTAGATAGGAACTATAGGTGGTAGTTAGTTAATGTTAGTGAGGGAGGAATAACTCAGTAATGGAGGATGAGGATGCTTGCACAACTTGAAGAATGTAATGTCATTAAACTGTACACGAAGAAACTATTAACAATTTGTATACATTTTGCTGAACAAAAGCAGCTAAAGAAATGAAATTTAGAAACAAATAAAAAAGAATGTCGGTTAAAGCAACATTAACCACCTGCATCTCCATTTAAACAGGATCCCAAAGCCAAAAACAAAAAACACAAAAAGGTCTAATCTCTCACCTGTCAGACTCTTCAATCCTTCTGTGAAGAGTGAGTGGAATTCTGGCGACTGCAATTTCATTGTAAATAGATAGTGCTTCAGAAGGCACAGCCTACTCCAACTGTAGCTCAGTAAGGGTCTATGCCAGGGATGCAGGTACCTCAGCATCTGGAGATAAAGTCACCAACCATCTATCTACAAGGCAAATGTGCATACACAAAAATGAAATTTTAAATCAAGGAAAATAAAGGGATACATTTCAGTCTTATTAACTGAAAGAAATTCATCTCCTGTTCGGATGAAAAAAGGACATAGTTCCAGTGCTCTGCTTGCGGCTACGTTTCCTGTTAAAACTCTCCTGGGAATTGAGTTTCTAAATTAAAGTGTTAGGTGTACCTAGCTGGCAAGAGAACAGTGGTTCCAGAAAATATAACCGAAAAACCTGCAGGTGCTCTTGGTCTCCTCATAACATATATTAGTCACATGTGTATTATCAACCTCCCTCCCTCTCCTTGCCTGAAATTTAAGGCTCAAGTGATCGTCTGGGATACTTAATAGGAATTGTAAGTAGTTTTCCATGACTTGGCTTTGCAGTCTTCATTTCCTTACTATTTTCCCCTCACATGCCGTGCCTTCTCTGATTCCCTTCCACCCTCTGCCTTAGTTTCTCCATCTTCACAGCTTAGTTCTCTCCATAGGCCGGTCCTCCAACAAGCAGAAGCTCCCAAGGGACCCAAACGGACACTACTACAGAAGAGCCATGCCATTCCTTGCAAAGTATGTTCGGAAGAGGACCATTTCCCACGAGCCGGAAAGTTCTATTAACCCAGATCACCTGGGAAGAAAAAACTGACTCGTTGCCTTTCATCTGTTTCAAATCAAGACAATCCCGCAGGACCTCCAGCCCTGAAATGGCATGCCCCGCCCCCACACTAGTTTCTGGATGGAAATGCCTTAGTGAAACACACTGGAGCAGGTAACAACGGAAGCTAAGTGGCCCAGGAAAGCTCCAAGAATCAGCGCGCGGTCAGCAGGGGCGTGGGGACGCGGCGAGCTACACGTTGGGGCTCTGTTCCTTAGTTTCCGTGAAGGCCTCTCGTAAACCCCTGCTCCCGCCTTCCCGCAGGAGCCCGGAGCGACAGGTAACACAAAGCCCTCACTCACTACGACTGCACCCATCTTTGCAGCGGGACCCGCTCACGGCCCCACCAAGTTAGCTTACCGGCCCCTCGGACGCCGACGCGGCATGCGCTTCCGGTCGGGCGAAGGCGATGACGTAATCAACGCACGTCTGTCGGCAACGAATGGGAAGTCGCGAGAGGGTGTGGGCGGGCCCTGCGTGCTCTCGTTGCTTGGTTCTTTCCTGAGTAGTGTGTGCAGCCTGAGTAGTGTGTGCAGCCTGCTATAGTTTTGGGGTCCTCTGACGCCAACAGTGGCGTCTCCTGGGGATACCCAGGAAAGCCGAGCTTCAGCATTGATGTTAATTACGTCTCACCAGACCTCAGACTATCCCGAGGTGATCAGACGTCCATCCGTACTGCAAAACTGAGACTGGAAAGTGACACTGTCTTCATTTGTAAAATGTGACTATTAAAATGTATCTCAGAGTTGTTACCAGGCTTCAGTGACCTGTTACAGCGTGGCACCTAGGAAGTGCTCAGCAAATGTTAACTTGTTATTCTTGCTGGCCATTTGACTCATGTTACTATACTGTATGTTAATTTCTGCACATGATTAAGTCTACAATTTTAAAAATTCTCAGAATCAAAAATAATGGAATTAATCTTAAGCAAAGAGTTCAAAACACATCCGTTCTAAGCCTAAACTCGTTGAAATTGTCGTTCTTTCGTTACCTTCCAGTCAGGACTCCATTCAAAAAAACAAAAAACTGCCCTCCAGTCGGATCCCATGACTCATAGCCACCCTTCCCTTGGGTTGGGTTTCCGAGGCAGTATCTCTACAGAAGGAGCTCTAGTAGCATAGTGCCTAAAGCATTTGACTGCTAACCAGAAAGCGGGCGGTTCAAACCCACTAGCCACACCTTGGAAGGAAGGTTGGACAATCTACTATCCGGAATTATATGTAGGTCGTTATGAGTGTGATCAATTAACAGCATCTCTAAGAAAGTACCCTTCTGGTTAGCAGTCAAATGCCTTAGGCACTACGCTACCCAGGCATATTTTATTTTACCTCATTCGTTGGATGTTTTCCATTTTAAAGGGTTAGGACTATACTCTCAATTTCTTTGCCACTTTCTTAACACTTCTTTTGCCTGGGAAGAAATTAAAGAACTGAAATCAAGTCCAAGCCCTTTGTCTTACAGCTGAAAAAACCTGTTAATGTGTTTGTGTAACCACTGGCTCCCCTGGCCTAGAAGGGTGGGGAGGTAAATATATAAATAAAGTCTGCACCACATGGTATTTGTGTTTCAGCTTAAATACATAAATATGTGTAGTAATTTTAAAATAAATTACTTTCCTTGGAATTTTCCTAGAGAAGTTCACGTACCATAATATTTTTGTGGCTTCCAGTTACCAGACTATCTCCACGTATCCCATTATGAGAACCAAGACAAGGCTTAGAGATATATAGATTGTTGATTCAGTCCAATTTCTTAACACAACTAGGAAGTCCCCAAATCTCTATTTTGGCCTTAATGCCCATTTTTCTCCACCACAGATCTAGACAAATGGGACCAGCATCTTTATCACTGTCTCCACTTAAAATA